GGAAAGAAAAGGGAGAAGGGAAAGAGAGAAAGGGAAGAGAAGAGGAAGAGAAAGGGAAAAAGGAAGAGAAGTATATTTACTCCTGTGTAGTGAAAGTGTTGCAGCAGGGGTGATTTAGTGTTGGATGTTGTGTACTAGAGCTTGTCACTAGTGATGTGCAAGGTGATGTGTCCAGCACAAAGACTGTGCTTATGGTTACCAAAAGAATGAAATAAAATGTTGAGCTAAGGTCAAGTGCTTCAGCTTTGTGAGAGAAGACCAGAGTTAGTTCAGTGCCCCTTTACACTGCAAAGAGTTGAAAGTCTGTGCTTCCCTTCACCCGTTCTGTGAGGGTTTTTTTTTTCATTCTTTACTGTTGTGGGGTGGATTTAATGGCTAGAAAATGCTATTGAAGCACACTGAGCTGGGGGCCAGTGAAGAGCCTTCCTTCAAAAGCAAGGCTTATATTAAAAGTAGGTTACAAAAAGTGGTTCAGGACAAACTGTTCTGGTGGGTACTGTGCTGTTCCCCAGCTGTTAGTAACATCTGTTTGCAAGTGCTGACCTGCCTGGAGCAAAATCTTGTCATGGGTTTAATTTCTTTCTTTCTAGAAAGCAAAGAAATAGTCTTGCCTTCAGAAAATACTTTTATTTTTTTCTGAAGAACAGAGTGTTTTGTACTCCCATGTTCTTTCTAGTCAAGGGTCAGCACCCACCCTCCTTATCATGTTGGCTGATTTAAAACCTGGCCTGTATTGGTCTCCTGATCTTTTCTTTGAGAGTCCTTTGGGATATTTTTGCTCCTCTCATGTTGTCCCTTTCTTGTTTCCATGAAGAATTCACTGCATCTTCAGAGTACTCCATGGTACTCTTTTTGCCATTTGCCCCTTTTTTTTGCAGTGTTTCATTCTGTAGCATTCTTGGACACCCTGTGAAAACATTGATCACAAATAACTTTATACCTGCAGTGTTTCACCCAGGTCTGCACTGTTTGGTTTAGGCTGCAGGTGGTTTGCAGCTTGTTGCCTGTGGTAACCCTAAGGTTCTGAATATGGGGCTCAGGTTTCTGCTCTCCTGAGAACTGCAGTAGTCTTTGTCTTGGAGCTGGTTCCCTGGAATTCCCTTCTCTTTCAGACCCATTGAGAACTAAGACTCATCCTCTCTCTCCAGGTATGATGGAATCCCTCAAGCAGGTGAACCTCCATCATTATTTTCAACACAAGCCTTTTTAATTTGTGTTCCAGGACCTCTGCAAATATAATTTCAAGCTCTTTCTGCTAAGTGCAGTGCTAATAGCCCTCTGGTTTAGCAGTGGCCTCTGCTTTAAACTGTATTGGGTGAGGTCTCTGCAGGTTTGTTCCTCTCCCGTTTCTGTCATGGTCTCTTACAGTGAGCTGTAGTGGATTTATGACATTTGGTCAATGGTGCTGTTCAGTGATAATTGCTGTCAGGGACAGAGTTAGGGATTTGTGTCATCAGTCAAGTAGAAACTGAGCTGGAATGAACTCTGACTTGTAACTGTGCACAAAGTGCTTTTAATTTTGTGGTCTTTATATGTGACTGCTGGTTGCTCAGATCAGAGGTTGCATTCATGTAGTTAATGTTGAGGATTTTTTTTTTCTTTTTTTTTTTCTTTTTTTTTTTTGTTGAGGGTTTTTTTTTTTTTTTACAAAGCTCCTGAGGTTTGCAGGTGAGCAAGGACAGGAAGGGTTGTAGTGGCTAAAACAAGACCCCAAAGTGTTACAGTGAGAGTAAACAGCATTGCACATTAAGTGGTGGAACAGAGAGGAGTGGAGAGTGTCTAAAGGGCTGGTGATCATAAAAAACAGTAGTTTCATGGTTCGTATAGCTTATAATGTCCCCATGGATTTGTAAGTGAAAGGCAAGCTGTGACAACCATCTTGAGAATGTTTTGTGTCAATGGAAGCTGCAAGCAGTTAAATTTGCAGCAGGGAAGAAAAAAGCAACTGAAGTGCAAAACCAGCCTGTGAGCTGTTTTGTTTAAATTTCTGTAAATACAAAGCCCAAATGCATCAGTGGACAGGTATTTACTGACCAAAGAGGTGTTTTGCACTGCTGAGAGTCCAGCCCATGGTCTGTGAAGCCGTCTGCTTGTGGCCATGACAGAGCTCTCTCCTTTTGAATGGACAGGGGAAAAAATTCAAATTCCACCACAGTATTGTCACCTCTTCCAGTGGCCTGGAAGAGTTGCTGGATGGTGTTTTTTGGCAGTTTTATCCTGTCTCAGTCAGGACATGCTTCTGTTCTCAGTAGTGGCATTCATTATTTTCTGTGGCATTGCAGGTGAGGGAGTGTGGGGCTTACCTCTTGACACTGTTGAGCCAGGGGTGGGTGAAATGACTCACACGATTTCAGAAGGCAAAATGAGCCTTTATCAAAAGCACTTCTCTCTTTTATAGAGGACATTGTGAGCATTAATTCCATTGGTCTTAAAGCAAAAACATTTCACCTGACTGGTGCACTGGACTTAGGTCAGTGTGGTAGAACATATCTATAAACAATATGGATGGAAAACAGAAAATGATTGTTACATTCCTCTGGGACTTTTTCCCAGACTTAGCCTGGCAGAAATCTTTCTCTTTTTCTCTCTGACTGAACTGAGAATATCCACAACCTCTTGTTTGACAAATTGCTGAAGAGTGAGGTGTATTGATTTGCCACACCTGCCTGGCTGCCCCTCAAAGTTTGGGATGTGTTCTAGGAGGAATTACTGTCCCCTATGTGAAAAATGCATATTTATGATTGGCTTTTCACAAATGTTACAATGTATATTATATGTGTAATGTTAGAAAATTATGCTGTATTAATTCTCTTACATATTGTGTTAAATGTAGTTTTAGGTTACAACATAATGTTAAAATAGAAACAATTTATGTGGGGGGAGTTTTTTTTTAGGGATGAGATACTCACTTGGAGGAGCACCTAAATCTTCCAAAGGAGAGGAATTTATGGCTTCTTATCAGAAGAAGCTAATTTCTTCAGG